ATAATAAATTGGTCATTTTCAATCCACGACTGTTTGTGGGACATTGCTGTGCGCAATTGGCTGCCGCCTTCGCCCACAAATATACAGTCAATTCACTTTACAGTGTGTTCTGTGAAGCGCTTTGGGACGTCCTCCCGACGTGAAAAGCGCTATATCAAATGCAAGGATTATTATTATTATTAAAACTGGTTGCCACAATCGCCTACAGCTATACATAGCAACTTACAGAAATCTCCTGCGAATACTTGAGAGATATTTTGATAAATAGGTGATGTAATCATTCTGTTATTACTTGGAATATAGTAGCAATTACTCAACCAGGGTCACCATTACAAATCTTGAATACATTACTGATGTATTTCATCAATACTAAAAGCCTTCTTTCTGCAATGAATTCTGGTTTGAATAAAACATAATAGAAAACAACTTGAAATGCTGGAAATTTACAATCAGTTAATCAGCATTTGCAAGAGATGGCTAGAATTATATTGATGGATCACATCTGCGACATCAACCCATTGCCGTGCGTCAGATGTTGAGTGACCATTTCTACAGGGTGTTCACAAAGTCCTGTTACCCCCAAAGTTCTGCACTGACCAACAACTGAAACTTGTGGCAGAATAATGATAACTGTATTTAGAAGTACCTCATTGTATTCATTATAAATGTTTAACTCTATTTGGACATCCAGAGGATTGGTGAGTGTGCGTGTGGTGAGTGTGAGAGTGTGCGTGTGTGAGTATGTGTTTGTGTGAGTGTGCAGTTTGTGTGTGTGTGTGTGTATGTGGTTTGTGTGTGAGTGCATATGTGTGCGAGTGTGTGTGAGTGCATGTGTGTGAATGTGAGTGTGTGTGTGTGAATGTGTGTGTGTGAATGTGACTGTGTGAGTGTATGTGTGTGGTGAGTGAATGTGTGGGTGTGCGAGTGTGTGTGGTGTGTGTTCAAGATCCTCGTCCTCACCATTAAGGCCAACCATGGTCTTGCCCCCTCCTACCTCTCTGACCTGCTGACTCCCTACTAACCTGCCCGCTCCCTCCGTTCATCGGGCTCCGGCTGCTCCATCGGTGGCCGGGCTTTGAGCCTCTCTGCCCCCATACTCTGTGACTCCATCCCACGGTCCCTTTGCCTCGCTTCCTCCCTCGCCTCCTACAAGGCCGGTCTCAAGACCCTTCTCTTCGACTGTGCCTTTGGTCTCCCTCCCACCTCTCTGCCTTCCCTCACCCCTCATCCACCCCTCCCCCATGCTTTGGCACCGACACCTGACTGTTCAATGTTTTAGGATGTTCTCCCGACGTGAAAGGTGCTCTGTAAATGTAATTTTGTTGTTGTTATGTGAGTGAGTGTGTGCGTGCGTGTGAGTGTGCATATATGTGTGTGGTGAGTGTGTGTGGTGTGTGAGCGTGTCTGTATGATGTGTGTGTGTGTGTAGTGTGTGTATGTATGTGTGTGTGTGGTGTGTGTGAGTATGTGTGTGTGGTGTGAGTGCGCAGTGTTTGTGTGTGGTGTGTGTGTGTGAGATGTATGTGTGGTGTGAGTGTGTATGTATGTGGCGTGTGTGTGGTGTAACATAACATGTAGGAGCAGGAGTCGGCCATTCGGCCCTTCGAGCCTGCCCCGCCATTCAATCATTGCTGATCTTCTAATCTAACTCCAGCTAATAACCTGACCTGCCTTATCCCCATATTCCCCCCACCACCCACCCCCTGCCTTATCCCCATATTCCCCCCACCACCCACCCCCTGCCTTATCCCCATATCCCCCCCACCACCCATCCCCTGCCTTATCCCCATATCCCCCCCACCACCCACCCCCCGCCTTATCCCCCCACCCACCCCCTGCCTTATCCCCATATCCCTTAATCCCTTTTGCAATAAGAAATCTATCTATCTCAGTCTTGAATATGTTCGAGGACTGAGCGTCAACAGCCCTTTGGGGTAGTGAGTTTCATACATTCACTGCCCTTTGAGTGAAGAAGTTCTTCTTCAACTCAGTGCGAAAGGGCTGCCTCTGATTTTAAGGTTGTGACCCCTGGTTTTAGTTTCTCCAACTGGGGAAACAATCTCCCACTATCTACTCTATGCCCTTTGATGATCTTATAGGTTTCGAAAAGATCCCCTCTAATTCTTCTATATTCCAGAGAATATAGGCCCAAATTGGTCAGCCTATCCTCGTAACTCATCCCCTTCATCCCTGGTACTATCCCAGTAAATCTACTCGGTTAGTACTTACCCCTCCAAGGCAAGTACATCCTTCCTTACATAAGGAGACCAAAACAGTATTCCAGGTGTGGTCTCACAGGGCCCTATACAGTTGCAGCGAGACTTCCCTACTCTTATACTCTAATCCTTTCATAATGAATGCTAACATACCGTTCGCCTTCCTAATTGCTGCTGCACCTGCAGACAAACTTTCTGTGACTGGTGTACAAGGACACCCAAGTCCCTCTGGACACTAACACATTCCAATCTCTCCCCTTCTACTGTTTTTGCTACCTCGGTGGATGGCTTCCCGACATTATACTTCATCTGCCACCTACCTGCCCAATACCTAACCTATCTATGTGCCGCTGTGTGTGAGTGTGTGTCTGTGTGCGCGGTGTGTGTGTGCGTGTGGTGTGAGTGTGTGGTTTGTGTGGTGTAAGTGTGTGTGTGGTGGATGTGAGTATGTGTGTGTGTGCGGTATGTGTGTGATGTGAGTTTGTGGGTGTGGTTTGTGTGTGGTGGAAATGTGTGTGTGTTGTGTGTGTGCATGTTTGTGCGTGGTGCGTGTGATGTGAGTGTATGTGTGTGAGTGTATATATGTGGTGCGTGTGAGATGTGTATGTGTGTGTGTGTGTGTGTATGAGTGTGTGTGTCTGTGAGTGTATGCGAGTGTATGTATGTGGTGAGTGTATGTGGTGTGTGAGCGTGTCTGTGTGATGTGTGAGTGTGTGTGTGTGGTGTGTGAGTGTATGTGTGTGAGTGTATGGTGAATGGTGTGTGAATGTGTGTTTTGTGAGTGCGTATGAGTGTATGTGTGTGGTGTGTGTGTATGTGTGTGTGAGTGTGGTGTGTATGTATGCGGTGTGTGTGTGTGGTGTGTGCGGTGTGAGTATGTGTGTGAGGTGTATGTGTGGTGTGAGTGTGTATGTGTGTGTGGTGCGTGTAAGTGTCTGTGTGTGGTGTAAGTGGGTGTGTGTGGTGTGTGTGCACGTGTGTGTGTGGTGTGTGTGATGTGTGTATGTGGTGTGTGTGTGCACGTGCATGTCAGAACTCTGCCGCCCGCATTCTCACCCGCACCAAACTCCACTCCCCGATCCCCCCAGTCCTGTCCCTTCCCCCACCCCCAAACCCCACTCCCCGATCCCCCAGTCCTGGCCCTCCCCCCGACCCCAAACCCCACTCCCCGATCCCCCCAGTCCTGGCCCTCCCCCCCACACCCAAACCCCACTCCCCGATCCCCCAGTCCTGTCCCTCCCCCCACCCCCAAACCCCACTCCCCGATCCCCCAGTCCTGGCCCTCCCCCCCACACCCAAACCCCACTCCCCGATCCCCCCAGTCCTGGCCCTCCCTCCCACCCCCAAACCCCACTCCCCGATCCCCCCAGTCCTGTCCCTCCCCCCACCCCCAAACCCCACTCCCCGATCCCCCCAGTCCTGGCCCTCCCCCCCACACCCAAACCCCAATCCCCCCAGTCCTGGCCCTCCCCCCCCCACTCCCCATCCCCCAAGTCCTGGCCCTCCCCCTACACCCAAACCCCATCCCCCAGTCCTGGCCCTCCCCCCCACACCCAAACCCCAATCCCCCAGTCCTGGCCCTCCCCCCCCCACACCCAAACCCCACTCCCCGATCCCCCCAGTCCTGGCCCTCCCCCCCCACACCCAAACTCCACTCCCCGACCCCCCCAGTCCTGGTCAGACTGCACTCACTGCCTATCACCGAGAGGATCCACTTCAAGATCCTCACCTCGTATTCAAATCCCTGCACTCCTCTGCACCCCCCAACCTCTCTGACCTCCTCTCTCCTCAAAACAGTACCCGTTGCCTTCGTTCCTCCGGGTCTGGCCTCCTCCTCGTCCCCCGAGGCCTCCGCTCCACCCTCGGTGGCCGTGCCTTCAGCCACTACCCTCCGAGGCTCTGGAACTCCCTTCCTCACTCCCTTCCCTTCGTCCCCTCTCTTCCCATTTTCAGGTCTCCGCTGAAGACCTTTCTTTTCGACTGCGCTTTTGGTCACCTTTCCCCCCCTCCCCCTGGCTCCTCCCCCCTTCCCCTCCCCCTGGCTCGGTCCCGGGATCCGTTACTGTAAAGTGTTTTGAGACGCCGTCCGGCGTGGAGGGCACTATATAAATCCAAGTTGTTATTGTTGTTGTTGTTGTGTGTGATGTGTGTGTGTGAGCGTGTGTGTGCTGTATGTGTGAGTGAGTGTGTGTGTATGTCTGTGTGTGTGTATGAGTGTGTGTTGTGTGAGTGTATGTGTGTGTGGTGTGAGTGTGGTATGTGTGTGTGGTGTGTGTTTGGCATGTGTAGTGTGTGTGTGGTGTGGGTGTGTGGGTGAGTGTGTGTGTGGTGTGTATGTGTGTGTGGTGTGTGTGTTGTGAGTGTGTGTGTGTGTATGTGTGCGGTGTGTGTGTGAGAGATGTGTGTGTGAGTGTGTGTTGTGTGAGTGTATGTGTGTGTGGTGTGAGTGTGTGCTGTATGAGTGTATGTGTGTGATGTGAGTGTGGTGTGGTGTATGTGTATCTGGTGTGGGTGTGTTTGGTATGTGTAGTGTGTGTGGTGTGTGTGTGTGGTGTGCGTGAGCCATCAGTTTCATGGCAGATAATGATGTGTTGCTATATTCGGTGCTACATCTTCAGTGACGTGGATGGAATCCATGAGGAGATTAGATGTGTATCTGACGCTTGTTTCAGCTCCTCCACAGTCTCATATCGCTGTTTTGTAACCGGGGGGTAACGGGACTTTGTGGACACTCTGTACATTTCCACATTGAGTTTAAGAGTAGCTGCTGTGGTCAGCCCATACCTCAGTAAAGAGAAGACGCTATAGGAGTTCCTCACAGAGCTCTGATCCACCTGGAGAAGACTGCTCCTCTTCTTTTCAATCAGGTCCTGAGGAAAGGGACAATTGTTTTTTAAATGGTCAAATTTAATTCTGGTACTGAGGATTCAAAATGAAGATCATTCTCCATCGATTCAAAAAAAACACAAAAGAAACATTCTGTGGTTTCGATAGGTTCAGATGAACAACAAATGACATTTATAATAATAATAATCCTTGCACTTGATATAACACTTTCTACGTCTTCTCGACGTCTCAAAGTGCTTCACAGAATATGCTGTAAAGTGAATTGACTGTATATTTTGTGGGTGAAACGCGGCAGCCAATTGCGCACAGCAGCGTCCCCACAAACAGTTGTGGATTGAGTGACCAAATTATTATTTTTTAAGGATTATTTAAATATTTATTCAGACATTTACACAGCGCCCTTCACATCGGGAGGACGTCCCAAGGCACTGGATAATGAGGGATTTGGACCTAAGCAGAGCGTTGGGAGCAGGAAGGGTGGACAGCAGGGAGGGTAGGGATAGGAGTGACTGAAGAGGCAGTCAAAAAGGAAGGTCTTGAGAAGGGCCTTGAAGGAGGCAACATGAACATGAAGAAGGCCCTTTGGTCCATTCTAGTCATTACAGAATGCCCACCCAACCAGCTTCCGATGACAGTATCAAGCCATTTCTTAGACAAGGCAGCAACATAGTCTCCATCAGATATTTGCACTTCAATGACTGCAGGAAAGTCATTCCACAAAGCACAGATCTCCTCAGCTTGAGTAGTGATGAAACCTGTGTCTGTGCAGTACACTTAGAACCACATCAAACATTCTCATTTCATCAGTGCCTTCATACTCACAACAATATCTGACATTCTGCTATTGAATGGCTACACAAGGCAGATTAGGCTGTCATTGCAACTAATTACTTGCCACATCTGGGGCTGGTGTATTAAGTTGAGTCATGGCCCTGACACTGCACCTAGATATGGTGCAGATCTTTACACTTGATATCTAATGCTGCCTAAAACAGAATGCTTCCATCTAATTCATAGCAATTCTAATTATCAGAATCTACATTTCTGGGCGTTTGAACCAGTATGTAATAAGCTCCTGACGTCAGGCAAGCCACCAGCAGATTGTGCTCAGCAGAAGCCAAGCCAGATTTTCCCAAAATAATGGAAAGTGAAAAAATATAATAATAGTAATAATCCTTGCAATTGATGTAGACGCTGTTGAGTCGTTCCAAAGTGCTTCACAGAATAAACTGTAAAGTGTAGTGACTGAATTGACTGTATATTTTGTGGACGTACAGCAGTGTCCCATAAACAGTCATGGATTGAGTGACTAAATTTATTTATTGTTTTGGGAGGGATTATTACCCCCAGAAACTGATCTGCCAATCAACTAACAACTGGGTTCCTACTTACTGCTGGTAAACAGAGGTCTGCAGAGTAAGGAAACTTGCCTAAGGTTTCACCCTGTCTGGGAATCAAACTCAGGTATATATATTATATATATATAAAATCCACTCACTCTAACACACCAGATTTATAGGCCAAATAGGACAGGATGGGCGAGTCACGTGACCTGTTAAGTCTGTGCTGCTCTTTGTTCTCCCTCTGGAAATCACCTAATCTCATTTCCTAATTTGCCGATGGGTGCAGACCACATTCCCACACACAACATGGGAATAGTGTTGCGGCAAAAAGGAGAAGAGAATCTAAAAAAGCAGAAGAGGGGGAGAGAAAAGAGAGAATTCCCCCCCTCCTTTAAATTTTGTAAATGAATTTAAAATAGGCAGCAAACTAGTAAATACTAAAAATTTGGAAGCCAGCACAAAAAAACTAAATTAAATTTGCTGGATATTAATAATAATCCTTTCATTTGATACAGCGCCTTATCACGTCTTTGAGACGTGTCAAAGCACTTCACAGGACACACTGTACAGTGAATTGACTGTATATTTTGTGTGTGAAATGCAGCAGCCGATTGCGCAAAGCAGCGTCCCAAAGTCGTGGGTTGAGTGGCCAAATTATTATTATTTTTTTTTAAGGATTTTTTACCCCAGGAAAGTGATCCGCCAATTCACTAACAACTGGGTCCCTCCTCACTGCTGGTAAACAGAGGCGTGTGGAGTAAGGAAACTTGCCTAACATTTTGTCCTGGCCGGGAATCAAACCCAGGAACTCTCGCTTGCGAGGCGAGTGTCTAACCACTGAGCTACAGGACTCCACAAAATAATATTGCTGAAATAAGATTTCATTAAACCCAGACAGCAACATGTACTGAACTCCTAATCCATCAGACTGCAGCTCCAATCTCTGCAACATGCTCTGTTGTTTGATGGAGATGTAGGATGGCGGCTCACACCCACTATACACCACTTCACAGCGGTGCCGTCAGAGGGCAACACTGAGCACAAGCCAGGCTCCTTGGAGGGAAGAGACTAATAAAAGGCCAGTGGCCCTGAACCCTCTCACGCACCTCCAAGTGGCCGGCTCAGGGGGTCTGGGAACAGGTGTCCAGCTTGCCCTCTCACTCTGGTCCCGCTCAGACCTGAAGACAGGAGAGAAAATACATTTTAAATAAATTGTAAAATCCCACTCTTTGGCTCTTCCCCAAAGGAGAACCTGTGGCAGCAGGACAAGGAAGGGAATATGGGGAAGCAGTCAGGGTGGCATGCTTCTTAGGCGTTTGACTCAGGAATTATTAAGGGCAACGGGCCCGGGACGTTCCTTCCTAATGAGAATAGCAGAATAAGGAACAATGGAATTTCATTAATAATAGTAATACTTGCATTTTATATAGTGACTTATCATGTCTTCGAGAGGTCCCAAAGTACTTCACAGAATATACTGTAAAATGAATTGACTGGATATATATTATATATTGAATTCTATTGTGCCTTATTCTTCTATTCTCAGGAGGACAGGATATTCCTTTTGAGTAGAATTGTTCAAAAGGAAACAAGAAAAGACCTGAGCAGTAAAATCATCATGGGATGTGCCAAGAAAGCCGGAAGTCGGATTTTTCTTTAAAATATGTAGAAACCAGCTAGTAATGGCACTGACACAGTGGCCCATATGACTCCCTTCTGCAAAGAAAATGTCAGTTTCTTTCTCACGAGGATTAAGCTCGCTGGCGATCACACAAATAAACACTGTAACAATCTATTGCTCGCTGAAGAACAACATCAGCTAAAAAGGAAATAAGCTGAATTTTGATATAGGAATGTAGGAATTGCTAGACGAAACAAAGACCACGGTCCATCCAGTTCACCTTCCACCATCCTGGAAGTCGCTTGTCATGTCATGATCTCCTCCTATACTGTAATCCCAAATATTACTTTCTAAAATAAATCATCTAATTTGCATTTGAAAGAATCAACACTTTCTCTCCGCCCACAAAAAGCTACCAGCCCCCCCTCCACCCAACCATGCCAAGTGTGAAGAGGTCCTGGACTTTGTCTATAAGATAAATATCATCCGCCTGGCCACCTCCTGCTCCTCCCCCCACAAAACCACCATCATCGCTCCTCTCCTTAAAAACCTACCCTCCAACCTCACAAACTTCAGACCCTTCTCAAGCCTGCCCTTCCTGGCCAAAGTTTTGGAATGCTTCATTGCGAATCAACTTCACTCACACCTCTCCCTCCCTCCACTCTCCTCCAGTCCGATTTCCGCCCAGCCCACAGCACAGAGACAACGCTTGTCAAAATAACAAATGACGTCCTCTCTCTGTGTGACCAGGGCTCTCTCTGCCTCCTCGTCTTCCTGAACCTCTCTGCTGCGGTCAACAGTCGATCACGTCAGCCTCCTCCACCGCCTCTACTCACTCATCCATCTCAGTGGGTCCGCACTCGCATGGCTCGAGTCCTACTTAACAAACCGCCAACAACACATCTGGGCAAATGTTTTCTCCTCCCGCCCGGTCACCCGCGGGGTAGCCCAAGGCTCCATCCTTGGCCCCCTTCTTTTCCTCATCTACATGCTCCCTCTCGACAATGTCATCCGCAGACACGGGGTCAACTTCCACACGTATGCGGATGACACACAAATCTGCTTCTCCTCCTCCAGCTGCGACTCCCAGTCTACTTATATGATGGCTATTCAAGCCTGGATGAGCACAAATTTCCTGCAGCTGATTGTCAGCAAGACGGAAGCCATACTCTTTGGCTCCCGTCAAAGTCTTCTCTGCGGGTCTGAACTCCTCAACTTCCCCGGGCTCTCCCCCAGACTCACTGAACCCGTGCGCAACTTAAGCGTCAGGTTCGATAAGCAGATTTCCTTTCTACCTGACATCTGTTCCCTGACCAGGACTGCTTTTTTCCACCTCCGTCACATTGCCCGCCTCCATTTCACAACAAAAGCAGCGGAAAATCTCGACCACACCTTCGTCAGTTCTGGGTTGGATTATTCCAATGCTCTCCTTGTTGGTCTCCCCAGCTCCACCATACACAAAATACAATGAATTCAAAGCTCCACCGCCCAGATACTCACCCGCACAAAACTCTGTACCCACAAAATAGTCAATTCACTTTACAGTATGTTCTTTGAAGCGCTTTGAGACGTCTCGAAGATGTGATAAGGTGTTATATCAAATGCAAGGATTATTATTATATATTATATTGCCACCATCACACCAGTCCATGCGGGCTCCACTGGTTCTCAATTACTGAACGGATCGACTTCATGATCATCTCACTTGTTTTCATGCCCTCGCACCTCCCTACCTCTCCGACTTGTTTACACCCACTCCATCACCTGCTGCCTCCGCTCGGGTGGCTTCGGCCTCCTGGTTGTCCCTCGTCCCCTCCGCTCCACCATCGGTGGCCGCGCCTTCAGCCACTGTGCCCTCCCTCAATCCCTCGGCCTTGCCCCCTTCCCTCTTTCAAATCCTGCCTAAAGACCTTCATTTTTGTTCGTGCTTACGGTCACCTGTTTCCTCCCTCTCCATCTGGCTCGGTGTCAGACTCCGCCTCTGTCAAGCCCTCCAGGAAGCTATCCTGCGTAAAGGGTGCCAGACTATGGCACTATCTCACCCCTCACGCTGCTGAAACTCTGGACCACGCCTTTATCACCTCAAGGCTGGACTATGGGAACTCTCTCCTCGCCGGGCTTCCCGGCCCTCCCTCCACAAGCTGCAGGTCATTCAGAACGCTGCAGCTCGTGTACTGTCCCACACCAGGCTTCGGGACCACATCACTCCCACCCTCGCCCTCACCCTTACTCCCGCCCTCGCTCGCCTCCACTGGCTCCCCATCCCCCAGAGGATCGAATTCAAGATCCTCACCTACAAGGCCATTCACGGCCTCGCTCCCTCCTACCTCTCCGACCTACTATTCCCCCTACTTACCTGCCCGTAGCCTCCGTTCCTCCGGCTCCGGTCTGCTCCACGTCCCCCGCCCCAACCGCCCTACCATCGGTGGCCGGGCCTTCAGCCTCTCAGCTCCGAGGCTCTGGAACTCCATCCCCCAGTGCCTTCGCCGCTTCATCCCTTTCCTCCTTCAAGGCCGGTCTCAAGACCTTTCTCTTTGACTGTGCCTTCACCTCCCCTTTCGACTCTCTACCCCCTCCTCGCTCCCTCCCTTCCCTCCCCTCACCCTGACCGTTTCCCCCCAATGCTCGGGTCCTGACCCAACTGTCCAGCGCCTTGGGACGTCCTCCCGACGTGAAAGGCGCTCTATAAATGGAATATTGTTGTTGTTGTTGTTGTGTTGTTGTTGCTATATAAATGCAAGTTGTTGTTGTTGCCTTCCTCCACCCCCACCTCTCCAGTCTGCTCACACCCCTCTCCGCTACTCACTGCCACATGTCCCTCAACCCCTTTGCTCCACTACACTTTCAGCTGCTGTGCCTGGTATCTCTGGAACTCCTTATACCCTCCATTTTGCCCCTTCTCTTCCAGTCTTCAAACGATACCTGAAGACGTTCCTTTCAACAACAACAACAACAAGAAGATTCCATTTATAAAGCGCCTTTCACGTCAGGAGGACGTCCCAAGGGTCAGTTGGGTCAGGACCCGAGCAGGGGGAAATGGTCAGGGGGAGGGAAGGGAGGGAGCGAGGAGGGGGGAAATAGTCAGGGTGAGGGGAGGGAAGGGAGGGAGCGAGGAGGGGGGAAATGGTCAGGGTGAGGGGAGGGAAGGGAGGGAGCGAGGAGGGGGAAATGGTCAGGGTGAGGGGAGGGAAAGGAGGGAGCGAGGAGGGGGAAGAGAGTCGAGAGGGGAGCTGAAGGCTCGGTCAAAGAGAAAGGTTTTGAGACCGGCCTTAAAGGAGGAGAGGGAGGAAGCGGCGAAGGCACTGGGGGATGGAGTTCCAGAGCCTGGGGGCTGAGAGGCTGAAGGCCCGACCACCGATGGTAGGGCGGTTGGGGCGGGGGACGTGGAGCAGACCGGAGCCGGAAGAACGGAGGGTACGGGCAGGTAGGTAAGGGGATAGTAGGTTGGAGAGGTAGGAGGGAGCGAGGCCGTGAATGGCCTTGTAGGTGAGGATGAGGATCTTGAAATCAATCCTCTGGGGGATGGGGAGCCAGTGGAGGCGAGCGAGGGTGGGAGTGATGTGGTCCCGAAGCCTGGTGCGGGACAGTACACGAGCTGCAGAGTTCTGAATGACCTGCAGTGTGGAGGGAGGTGGCGGGAAGGCCGGCGAGGAGAGAGTTCCCATAGTCCAGCCTTGAGGTGACAAAGGTGTGGACCAGGGTTTCAGCAGCGTGAGGGGTGAGGTAATGCCGTAGTCTGGCGATGTTCCGGAGGTGATGGAAGGCGGTGCCAGTTGTGGTGCGGATGTGAGGGAGAAAGGACAGCTCAGGGTCGAACAGAACCCCGAGGTTCCTGATGGCTTTGAGAGGTGGAGAGTGCAGCCTTGGATGCTGATGCTGTCAGCGCCTGAGGTGCGGAGGCGCTGACGTGAGCCAATCAGGAGGGCCTCGGTTTTTCGCACGTTGAGCTGAAGAAAGTTGTCTCTCGTCCAGGACTCGATGTCGGACAGACAGCTGTCAGGACATCGGTGGTCGTTGAGTTGAGAGTAGAGGAGGAAAGGTAGAGTTGGGTGTCATCCGCATACATGTGGAAGTTAACTCCATGTCTGCGGATGATGTCACCACAGGGGGAGCATATAGAGGGTGAAGAGGAGGGGACCGAGGACAGAGCCCTGAGGGACACCACATGAGACAGTGCGGGGGGTGGAGGAGAAGCCATTTGTTGAGACAAAGTGAAGACGGTGAGAAAGGTACGACCTAAACCACTCAAGGACAGTGCCTTGAAGGTTGAGGTGGGAGGACAAGCGGTGGAGTAGGATAGCGTGGTCGACCGTATCGAATGCTGCCGATAGGTCGAGGAGGACGAGGAGGCAGAGGGAGCCCTGGTCACAGATGGTCAGGATATCGTTGGTGACCTTGACCTGGCTCAAATCTCACTTAACGGTCCATCGGCAGATCCGGCTGGACCTTATCAAGTCCTACCGCTCCGTCCTCGCCTCCGCTAAATTGTCGTTCTACTCCAAGACAATCTTGGAGGCCAAGGACAAACCCAGGCTCCACTTCTCCATCACCAACTGGCTCCTCCTCTCAAGCCTCCTCCCATCCTCACCTCAAATGCCAAATGCTGGACTTCCTCGAATCCAAAGTCAAGGGAATCCGCTCAGCTGCCTCAACCCTTCCAACTATTACCCCACTCCCCCTCACACTCCCTCCCTCCACACCTTCGAACCTGTCTCCCCCTCCTCACCACCACTATAACCCACTTGAAATCGATCTCTTGTTCCCTCAACCCTATCCCTATCCCTCTCCTTACCTCCTAGCTCCACCTCCTTGACCCCCCTCCTGACAAGACACCATAAACCTCTCCCTGTCCACTGGCACTGTTCCCCCCACTTTTAAAAACTGCCTTCATCACTCCTGACCTCAAAAAATCCTCCCTGGACCCATTCCTGCTCTCAAACTTCCACCCCATCTCCAACCTCTCTTTCCTCTCCAAGGTCCTGGAACGAGTTGTTGCTTCCCAGCTTTGCTCCTTCCTCTCCCGCCACTCCCTTCACGAACCCCTCCAATCGGGCTTCCATGCCGCTCACAGCACAGAAACAGCCCTGGTCAAAGTGACAAATGATATTCTGTCCATCTGCGACCAGGGCTCTGTCTGCCTCCTCATCCTGCTCGACTCCTCTGCTGCCTTTGATACCGCTAACCACTCTATCCTCATCCACTGCCTCTCCTTCACCTCAACCTTCATAGCTCTGTCCTTGAATGGTTCAGATTGTACCTCTCAGACCGTCTCCATTTCATCTCCACAAACGGCTTCTCCTCCAGCCCCCTACCATCTTGTGCGGTGTTCCTCAGGGCTCTGTCATTGGTGCCCTCTTCAACATCTATATGCTCCTCTTGGTGACATCATCCGCAGGCATGGGGTCAACTTCCACATGTACGCAGATGACACCCAACTCTACCTCTCTGCCTCTACCCTCGACTCCAGGACCCACTGCTGTCCTGACAGAATGTCCATCAGACGTCAAGTCCTGGATGAGAGCTAAGTTTCTACAGTTGAAGGTCAACAAGACCGAGACTCCTGATTGGCTCACGTCAGAGACTCCTCACCTCAGGTGCTGACAGCGTCACCATCCACGGTTGCACACTCCACCTCACTGAGCCAGTCTAAAACCTTGGCGTCTTGTTTAACCCTCAGCTATCCTTTCTACCCCATATCAGTGCCATGACCCGTCTTCCCCACCTCCAGAACATCACTCGGCTCCAACACTGCCCTACCCCTCAGGCTGCCGAAACCCTCGTCCATGCATTCATCACATCTAGACTTGACCACGCCAACTCCCTCGTCGGCCTTCCCAACACTTCCCTCCACAAGCTGCATATTATCCAGAGCTCGGCAGCTCGTGTCCCCTCCGCACCAGGCGCCATGACCCCATCACGCCCACCCTCACCTAGCTCCCCATCCCCCAGAGGATAGATTTAAAAATCCTTGTCCTCACCTTTAGGTCCTCCACGGCCTTGCCCCTCTCTACCTCTGCGATCTGCAAACCCCATATCAACCAACCTGTCCAGTCCCCCCGCTCAGCAGGCTCTCGCCTGCTCCATGTCCCCCACCCGGTCCTCTCCACCATCGGCGGCCGGGCCTTCTGCTTTTCTGCCCCCAACCTGTGAAACTCAATCCCACATTCCCTTGGCCTTTCTCCCTCCCTCGCCTCCTTCAGGACGCGTCTCAAAACCCTCCTCTTCAACTAAGCCTTTGGCCACCCTCTTACCCTCCCTGACCTCCACCCTCCGAGATCCCAGTTTGGATCCAAATCCCAGCGACTTGAGACGTCCTCCCAACGTAAAAGGTGCTACACAAATGTAATTTTGTATTGTATTGTACCTTGTGATCGAACGGTGTTCCATAATAGCCATCATTTAATCCAAATATAATCTCATTGGGATTGTGCGCACGAATCTAAACAAACAGAGAAAGAGTCCATTAGATACAAATATAATGCCATTTACTGGTACAAAAAAAAATCCTCTTTTCTCCACTTCTCTTCGCCCTCCCACCACTGAGGTGGAAGTGGTGGGGAAACGAATTGTGGTTTAGTGTTTGCCACAGGCTGATGCTCTGTTGGAAATGCAGCACAACCAATATGTTAACTCCCTGCTTGACAGTCTTTCCAAACCTTCCCTCCACAAGGTGATATATTGCCTTATCACAACAATGAGACGTCCCAAAGCACTTAAGAGTGGATTGATTGCATCTTTTGTGGGCAAAACACAGCAACCAATTGCACACAGCAATGTCCTACAAACAATCGTGGAATAAGTGACCAAATTATTATTATTTATTTATTTTTGATTTATTCATTTTCGGGGGAGAGTTTATTACCCTCGGAAAGCGATCCGCCAATTGACTAACAGCTGGGTTCCTACTTACTTCTAGGTAAACAGAGGCATGTGGTGTAATTCTTCCAAGTAGACACAAAAGTAAACTAAAATTACCTGCTGACCCAAGTACTTGAGCCCATCAAGATTCACCTTCCATTCAATGAGCAAGCAGTACTGCCCCATCTTTCCGCCCCAGATCCTCACTACAATGCAGGACACCGAGGTATCAAGGTGGTCTGGCATCAAGCCAAAGTCTAGACTTCTCCATGTTGGATTCTGCACAACAGGAATAAGAAAAGGGTTTAGTGGAACTGAAATGTACGATCATTGAAAGTGCAGCAGGAATTCATTAAAACATGTCATTTCCAATATTTTTACACCTCTGTACTTACTCACTATCACTTCTATCTTAGTTGCCTACTCCTTCCAACTCCGAGAAATACCCTTCCCTCGTCACAACACCAACTTGCATTTATATAGCGTCCTTCTGCCAAGTACCATCTCAAAATTCACCGTCAATCCACTTGGTAACTTGTATTCTGTGAAGCACTTTGAGACCTCTCAATGACATAATAAGACATTATATCAAATGCAAGGATTATTATTATGATATGCCTTAGATGCTGTCACAGAGAAGCCTGTATATGCCTCAGGTACGATCAGAGAGGACCAGCGTTATTGCTGTGTAACAAATTAGTTATGCAATAACTCAGTTAATTGGATGGGATCATTTGGACACAGAGATTTTTGTGAGGTAGTCACATCCCAAACTACAGAAAACCATAGAGTTCACAGAGCCCATTAAATAGCACGTGACTTACACTCCTAGAGTAGATGCCTTAGTTCATTAATCCAGGCTCGACTATGCAAACTCCCTGCTTGTCGGCCTTCTCAACTCCTCCCTCCACAGGCTGCAGGTAATCCAGAACTAACTCTGCAGCCCATGTCCTCTCCCGCACCAAATTTCATGACCCCATCTCCCCCACTCTCGCCCAACTCCATTGGCTCCCTATCCTTCAGAAGATCCAGTTCAAGATCCTGGTCCTCACCTACAAAGCCCTCCATGGCCTCGCCCCACACTACCTCTGTGACCTCCTAACCCCTTACCAACCCGCCCGCTCCCTCCGCTCAGCCGGCTCTGGCTGCTCCACGTCCCCCATCCCACCCGCCCCACCATTGATGGGAGAGCCCCCAATCTCTGGAATTCCATCACCCAGTCACTCCGCCTCGCCCCCCCTCCCCCCCACTCCTTAGCCTCCTTCAAGTCCTGCCTCAAGACCCTCCTCTTTGACCATGCCATTGGTCACCCCCCTTCCCCTCCCCTCCCTTCCCCCAGCTCGGGTCTGAAATGCTGTCACTGTCCAGCGCCTTGGGACACCCTCTATACATATGTAATGTTGTTGTTGTTAGTTCACTTATGAGTATCTGCCAAAACTCAATAACATTGTGAGGAGACACTTCACACCACCGTCTAAAGGGGGATGGGAGCAAATACAAACACCAGGGAAACTTTACTAGTTCATGGAAAATTGTCACCAAGAACATTTCAATTCAGCTCATGTGATCTCATGTTGCTAACGTGGCAAAACAGCAGGATAAAACTGTGTTACCTTTGAAATGACTGGAATATGCTGCTACTGTAAGGCTACATATAGCTGCTCAAAACTTGCATTTGTATTTACTGTTCTTGTAGAGGGGTAATTTTGTGGCTGAACAGTGATGTAGTTTGATGCCAAGCCAGGGAAGGAGTGGAGGTGCTCGAAGAGGAAGGTCTTCAGGGGTGATGTGAAGACAGACAAGGAGGGGGCAGTGTGGAGGGAGCGACACAGCCTCTCACCAGTAACAAGGAGGTTAGATGTCCTCACCATGGCCTAGTTGGTAACACTCCTAAAATTAAGCTGCTTACTGCTAATACTGAGCTAATATTGAGGCCCCAAAGATTGAAAAGAGATGTGTCCTGGACAACAATCCTCCAGGTAAAATTGATCACTCACTTTGTGACTGTTTCTGGGAAATTGCTGTGTGCAAATTGGCTGCTGGGTTCAACTACAAATACAATCACATAATTTTACAGTAAATCCTGTGAATGATTTGAGACATTAGCAACAACCTAACATTTTCAAATCACACTTAAAGACACTCCTCTTTGGCCATGCCTTCGGTCACATCCCTTCGCTTTCCAGCTCAGTGTCAACCACACCGCTGTTAAGCTCTCTGAGACACGTACCCATGTGAAGGGCGCTATAATAATAATAATCCTTGCATTTGATATAGTGTTTTACCTTTAGAGTCTTCAATAATCAAGTTGTTTCTTACATGACTCCAGAATCCTGACCTCTGGTAATCCCTTCCAGCTGGTTAATAACAACAAAAATAATAATCCTTGCATTTGATACAGCACCTTATCACATCATTGACATCATAGAATCATACAGCACAGAAGGAGCCCATTCGGCCCATCATATCTGTGCTGGCTCTTTGAAAAGAGCTTCCAAATCAATCCCGCTCCCCCCATAGACCTGCAAAGTGAGATGTCTCAAAGTACCTCACAGAATATACAGTAAAGTAAATTGACTGTATATTTGTGGCGAAACGCGGCAGCCAATTGCACACAGCAGCGTCCCACAAACAGTCGTGGATTAAATGATCAAATTATTTTTATTTTATTGAAGGGATTATTACCCCCGGAAAAGGGATCCACCAAACGATTAACAACCGGGTTCCGACGTACTGGTAAGTAAACTGAGGCGTGTGGAGTAAGGAAACTTGCCCAACATTTTGCCCTGACCTGCCCAGGAATCAAACCCAGGTCTTCTCGCTTGCAAGGCAAGGCTAGCGCTCTAACCACTGAGCTACAGGACCCCACTGCAAATTGTTGTTCTTGTTGACCTAATAAGGTATTACATCAAATGTAAGGATTATCATCTTATTTTCACTATTTTTGCTTCCTTAGTTTCTTTTTCTCTCTCTTAATATTTTAAATTTAGAGTAGAGGAGGAGTTTATAGAGTGTATGAGAGAGCTTTCTGGAGCAGTAGCTGAGGAACCAACTAGAGACAGGCCATACTAGACCTTGTTTTGTGTCACAAAACAGGGCGAGTCGGTAATATAGATATTAAGGCTCCTCCAGGACAGAGTGATCATAACATGATAGAATTTAGTATTAAGTTAGAGAGCGATGTCGTCAAATCCAAAGCAAGGGTCTTAAATTTAAATTAAGCTAACTTCGCAGGAATGAGGGAAGAATTAGCTAAAATAGACTGGGGAATTAGATTTATGGATATGACAATAGATCAACAGTAGCAAACGTTTAAAGATGCAGTGCAAAATTCTCAGCGGTCACATATTCCCTTGAGCAATAAGAGTACCACAGGGAAAGCAGTTCATCCGTGGCTAACTAGAACAGTTAGAGAAAGTATAAAACTAAAAGAAAAGGCCTATAAAACTGCCCAAAAGAGTAGCAAACCTGAGGACTGGGAATGTTTAAGGGACCAACAAAGGAAAACCAAGAAGCTCATTAAGAGTGAGAAAATGGATTATGAGGGCAAGCTCGCTAGGAACATTAAGGGTGATCATAAGAATTTTTATAAATACATTAAGAGGGATAGGTTAAAAAAAGTAAATGTGGGTCCATTACAGACAGACAAGAGGAATTATAATGGGGGATAAGGATATGGCAGAGTCCCTAAATAGATACTTTGCGTCTGTCTTCATGTTAGAAGACACAAGAAGTTTACCAGAAATAGAGATGAACCAAGGGACTAATGATAGGAAACAACTTAGGGAAATTTACATTAGCAAAGAATTGGTGCGAGGGAAATTGTTGGCATTAAAAAATGACAAGTCCCCTGGACCTGATGGTCTGCATTCTCGGGTTTTAAAAGACGTCGCTCATGACATAGTGGAGGCCTTGTGTCTGATCTTCAAAAATCCTTTGGATTCTGGAACAGTTCCCATTGATTGGAAGATCACAAACGTGACACCACTATTTAAGAGGGTGGGAGAGAGAAGATGGGGAACTATAGACCAGTTAGTCTGACATCGGTGGGAGGGAAAATTCTAGAATCCTTAATTCAGGATGTCATAGTGGGATACTAAGAGGATCACAATATGATTAGACAGAGCCAACGTGGCTATACAAAAGGGAAGTCATGCTTAACAAATCTTTTAGATTTTTTTGAGGACATATCAAGTAGATTAGATAGGGGGAAATCAGTGGATGTAGTGCATATAGATTTCCAAAAGGCATTCGATAAGGTGCTGAATAAAAGGTTGATCAGTCACAAAAAGTTAGTTTGCAGGTACAGCAAGGAATTAGGAAGGCTAACGGTGTGTTGGCATCTGTTACAAAAGGGTTAGAATAAAAGAGCACAGAAGTCTTGCTGCAACTGTATAGAGCCCTGGTGAGACCACACCTAGAATATTGTGTGCAGTTTTGGTCTCCTTATTTAAGAAAGGAAAGGATGGACTCACCTTAGAGGGGGAGCAGCGTAGATTCACTGGGTTGGTACCTGGGATGAGGGGGATGACTTATGAGGAAAGGTTGAGCAATTTAGGCCTATATTCTCTAGAATATAGAAGAATGAGAGGTGATCTTATAGAAACCTATAAGACTATTAAGGGGCACAACAGAATAGATAGTAGGAGACGTTTTCCCCTGGTTGGAGAAACTATAACCAGGGGTCAGTCTTAAAATTAGGGGTGAGCCCTTTCGCACTGAGTTGAGGAAAAACTTCTTCACTCAGAGGGTAGTGAATTTATGGAATTCTCTACCCCAAAGGGCTGTAGATGCTCACTCCTTGAACATATTCAAGACTGAGATTGATAGATTGATAGATTTGAATCTACAGGTCCCTGGAATCTAGTAGTCGGTATCTTCATTCCCCAATTTCAACCTTCCCTAGCTTTCATTTTGCATATATATAGCGCCCTCACACGGGGTAGCGTCCTGGAGCAGGCCATTGGAAGGGACTTAAACCAGATGAATGTCAAACGTTTCTGTCTGATGAGGCAAAATAAGAGTTTCTCCTGGAAACTTGTCCAATAATCCTGCAGTTAGATTAGTCTTTACTTCTTAGCAGTGTGTGAGGCATTACTGTGTGTAAATTGGCTGCTGTTTTTTTGGTCAGCCGGGTGTCTGACAGGTGGAAACCCGATCACCGTGCTGAAGAGTCTCCAAACCAAACTGGGAATTCCATGCATTCCACCTACACACAGAATCATAGAATCACAGAATTATGCAGCACAGAAGGAGGCCATTCGGCCCATTGTGTCTGT